GATTAATTTGGGATAAATAATTGTGCTATAATTACCTAATTTGCATAACTAGTTAATTTTTTGCTGTTCTATGATGTCTAAAAACCACTCATTGGATTTCAATGAAACTTTTAAAGAGTACCCATCACATTTCAATGAACCTAAGACTATGCACCATATTAGTTTTTGGTAAATATTTATGCTTCTTAATCACCTAATTAACATAATTATTTAATACTGATATCTCAAGTATTGATCATCACATTTGAATAAAACTTGGTACATAAATTCTCTAGGACAATAGACAGTCTGATTAATTTTGGGTTAAAATCTGTTCATATTAATTCTCTAATTAGTATAATAATTAATATTTTTTTGGTTTTAATCACATTTCAATGAACTTGGTACATTGTGCAGACCTTATTAGTTTTACACTTAAATCTGTTCATATTAGTTACCTTATTTGCATAATTAGTTTTCAGCTATTCCATCAATATCTCAAGTATAAGTAATTTTGAATTAATTTGTAATGTGTCTCCAAAACTCTCAGCACACGGGAGTTCTTTCTAAGCTTTCTTTGATTTTAATTTTGTTGTTAATTTTGAACCAAATAGACATAATTTCTCACTGGCTATAGATTTTGATAAAATATACAAAAAGATTATATGATTTTATTTCATGAAAGTTGACAAAAATTGACTTTGACAATCAAACATTTCAGGGATTAATAGGAATATCTAACCTTCAAGAATCCAGGGCCTCTCCTGCTACACGGGGGGGGGGGGGGGTAATTTTAGAATATGAATACAAGCACAATTAAGACAGTCTGACTAGCTCAGTACAGAATATCCCTCGTGTATTACATGGATAATGGTTTCCCATTATTCAGTGTGTGAATACAAAGAATGGCTAAATTACATGGCAACACCTGGGGTAATATAATAATATCTCACACAGATGTCTATGGTGAAGCCCCTAGTGTCAAATTTGATTTGGAGTTAATTGCTCAATAATGTTCTTTACTCGTATGGCTCTCACAATTTTATCACTTTGCATCGTCTTACCAACATGTTCAGTTAGGTTTTTTTTTTCACCTTTTACTAAAACATAACATAATTAAAATCATATTTTTAAAACTTGTAATTAATTTAAAACCATTTATTTAGTCAATGGGAAATTATGACCAAAATTAACTAAGAAATAAAATTAAAATGTTGCATCAAAGTATGAGCAGGGAAAAACATGGTGTTTAAAGGTTTAATGACTTGTTTTAAAGGTCATTACATTCCTGTACCAATCACATACAACAATGAAACAACATTCAGGCAACACAAGGCCTCAGAAAACATTCGTATGACATATACTTAGATTTTTTGCCAATCTTTAAGTTTTATTGCAATTTCAGTTTACCCACCATGCAAGCTGCCAAATTACTCTGAAATAGGTACTACAATAGCATTTGGAACACCGCCACCACCGTATCAACAGTTGACGACTGATCAGGCCGATTCTCAGGAAGCGCCACATATAAATGTAGAGGCTGTACCTTGTAGAGTAGTGACTGTGACCGTACATCAGAGTGAAATAGGAACACAGACACGTGCAATAGATGATAATCAAGAACAAACTACAAATGGAAGGTGAGATGCTTTAGGTTTTCACTCATTGGGAAGGCCAAATCCACTGGCTGAGATTCTTTCACTAACTGATACGACTTTGGGAGACCCTTGGTTAAACTATGAAACCTGGATAACACATTAAAATTGCTGTTATGAGAGAAAAATGGTCACATAGCCTTGTCGTGTGATTCCAAATATGGAACATGGTTCCTATGGAAAATGGCACTGTATATAAACTCAAAAGTCTCCAAGGACAACAGTGTCCTACTACCGGATTCTGCCATAAATTCACCCTGGGCCGTTAAATGGCAGTTTGGGTTTTAGAGAAAAAATTGGGACCAAGAAATCGCTAAGGGCAATTTTTCTGCAGTTTTTAAGGTGTAATTTTTTGGACATTTCTGTCTTTCCTGACATAAAATAGAGTCTAATTTTTTTTTTTTTTGGAGAAAGATGACACTGGGTGACATTGTTATGAATTTTTAGGTGGTCTACTGTTTAATTCAGCTAGAAAAAAATGTATCATTTTATATTAGATT